AACTCTCTAATCTAGGAAGTACCTGCCAGCGCGTCTTTTATCTTCGCTATGGCTCCATCAGCAGGCATACTTCCCCAGTACCATCCAGTGTGACTGAGCTCCACAGACAGGCTGCCTCTGGGGGTGGCTCCTCAGTTGACCCTGTGGTCCTCCACTGGCCCCACTGGCCCCTGTGCCCCTTCCTGGAGGGCTCGAGGCTCCACAGAGTCACAGGGAGAGCTCGCGTCCTTCCTGGAAATCAGATGGAATTCTACATTGAGTGCTTGCAATAGTGTCCAAAGTGGTGGCAGAGGGCATGTGGAGCTATCAGTTCTTTCTTCTCAAGTCCCGGAGAATGGAAGGTAAAGTTTTCCATAGATTTGGTCACCCACAAATCACCTGCCATGGGCACCTGGGCTCTGGACTCTGGGATCCTGAGGCTTTGAGCTCCCAGTGTTCACTGTCCTGGGCTCTGGGGGCTGGAGGTGGGTAGGCTCACACTTTGGTTGGATGTCTTCCTTAAGTATTTGATGAGCTTGTCTTTGAATCCTCAGAGGGCCATATAATGGACTACAATGCAAGTCTTAACAAATTACAAACAATTGAAATCATAAAAAATATGTCTTTGGACCACATGTGATTATTTTAGAAATCCATAGATATTAAATTTTTGTTAAAATTAAATCAACAAAATTTTTTTAAAATCCTAAATGTTTAGAAATTAAATATACTCCTAGATTTTAATGTATATTAGAAAATATTGTAATGGAAATTATAAGTTATATTGAACTGAATGATCATAAAAATATTCCATATCAAAATCTGTAGAATTTGTGGGCCAGGGATTTAGCTCAGTGGTTCTGGTGCCTGCCTTGCAAGTGCAAGGTCCCGAGTTTGATGGCCCCAGTACCAAAAAAAAAAAAAAAACTGTGGAATTTTGCAAAAGTAGTTCTTAGAGAAAATGTACATATTAAAGAAGATTGAAAAAACATTGAGCTAAATATCTAACACTTAGCAGAGACTAGAAAAAGCAGAAGAAATGATAAAGATGAAGCAGAAATAAACAAAACATAAAATAGGATCAACAAAGGCAAGGGATTGGGTCTTTTTGTTTTTTGGTACCGGGAATTGAACTCGGGTCCTTGGGCTTGCGCTCCAGGCGGCGAAACCACTGAGCCAAATCCCTGGCCCAGGGATTGGTTCTTGAAAAGATTAATACAATTGGTTAACCTCTGAGATGCTGATCAAGAAAAAGAAAGAACATACAAGTAACTAATATTAGGAATATAAAAAGGGAATTCATTATAGATCTTAAAAATCTACAAGATATGAGGCTATTATGTCAGGATACAAAATCAACATCAAAAAATAGCTTTACTGAGCTGGCGATTTAGCTCAGTGGTTCTGCCGCCTGCCTAGCAAGCACAAGGACCCGAGTTCGATCCCCGGTACCAAAAAAATTAGCTTTACTGTATACAAATAATGGACTTGCCGAGAAAGAAATCAGGAAACACTTCTGTTCATAATAGAAAAAAAAACCCCAAGTGATTAACCTAATTAAAGGGATAAAAGACCTCCACAGTGACAATTTCAGAACACTGAAGAAATTGGAAAAGACACTAGAAGATGGAAAGACCTCCCATGTTCACAGATTAACAGAATTAATATTGTTAAAATGGCCATATTACCAGAAGTGTTCTACAGATTCAATACAATCCCCATGAGAATTCCAATGACATTGTTCATGGAACTAGAAAAGTCCTAAAACTCATACGGAAACACAAAAGACTCAAGAACCAAAGCAAACCTAAGCATAAAAGAAAGCAAAGCTTGGAGGTATCACAATACCTGATTTCAAATTATACTCCAAAGCCACAGTAATAAAAATAGCATGGTACTGGCACAGAAGTAGACACATACAACAATGGAATTAGAGTATAGGACACAGAAACAAATCTATGCAACTATAGCCCTCGGGACACCCCCCCCCCTTTTACTTGGGCCTTTGCAGAGCTGTGTCCCCAGGCCTCTTGTCCCACTCCCTTTTTGAGACCAGATGTCACTTAAGTCACTAAATTGTCCAGGCTGGGCTCAAACTTGGAATCCTTCTGCTTCAGCCTTCCACAGTGTTGGGATTACAAGTGTGTGCCACCACACCCAGCTTTTAGCTATCTGATTTTTTTTTTTTTTTGGTACCGGGGATTGAACTGGGAACCTTGCACTTGCAAGTGCCAGAACCACTGAGCTAAATCCCTGGCCCTAGCTATCTGATTTTTGTCAAAGGAGACAAAAATGTGTGTTGGAGAAAAGCCTCTTTAACAAATGATGCTGGAAAAAAACCAAAAAACAAATGATGCTGGGTAAACTGGATATCCCTATATAGAAGATTGAAACTAGATCTCTATCTCTACCTATACAAAAATCAATACAAATGGATCAAAAACCTAGGTATAATACCTGAAACTTTGAATCTGCTAGAGGAAAACATGGAAACACTCAAAGCCATAGGCACAGGCAGAGACTTCCTGAATAGGATTCTAAAAGCACAGGAAATAATAGTAAGAATCAACAAATGGGACTATATTGAATTAAAAAGTTTCTGCACAGCAAACAAGAATAAAGTGACAGCCTATAGAATGGGAGAAAGTCTTTGCTAGCTACTCCTTTGACAGTATTAATATGTAGAATATATAAAGAACTCAAGGGAGGATTTAGCTCAGTGGTGCCAGTGCCTGCCTCGCAAGCCAAAGTTCCCAAGTTTGATCCCTGGTACAGAAAAAAAAAATTGTAAAGAACTCAAAAAGTCCCCTACCAGTGAGCAAATGAATTCAACAGACATTTCTCAAAAGAAGTACAAATGGAAGTTGGGTATGGTGGCGCACACCTATATTTCCAGCACTCAGGAGGCTGAGGCAGGAGGATTGCTGCCAGTTCGAGGCCAGCCCGGGCTACACAGTGAATTCAAGGCTAGCCTGGGGTACATAGTGAGACCCTGTCTCAAAAACAAAAAAACGAAAAAAAAAAGAAAGAAGTACAAATGGTCAGTAAATATATAAAAAAACTGTTCAACATCTTTAGCCATTGGCGAAATGCAAATCTAAACTACATTGACATTGCATCCAGTCAGAAGGGTTATCGTCAAGAATGTGGATAAATGATGGTAAAGATGTGGAGGCTGGAGATGGAGTGAGGAGGAACCTTTGTACTCTACTGGTAAGAATGCAAGTTAGTACAGCCACCACACAGGTTCCTCAGAAGACTAAAATCGTACGACCCAGGCTTACCACTCCTTGGCATATAACTGAAGGAATTAAAGTCAGCATACTGTAAGGATATCTGCGTATCCATGTTTGTTGCAGCATAGTTCACAATAACCAAGATACGGAACCAGCCTAGGTGCCCACCAACAGGTGAATGGATAAAGAAAATGTGATATGCAGCCAGAAACAAGAACAAAATTATGTCATTTGCAGGAAAATGGATGGAATTGAAGAATGTAATGTTAGGTGAAATAAGCCAGACTCAGAAAGAAAAGTATCACGTTTTCCCTAATAAAAGATGACTAGAAAGGAGGCTGTTAGATAAGAGAAAGGGAATAAGGGGAAGTGGAAAAGGGGGATAACGGGGGATGGAAAAAGATTATTGTATTATTAAGAGATCATGATGTTGGCATGAATTTATTGAAGTTAAAAGGTATCCACTAAACTCTGTTAAGCAAAACAGCAAGTTATAAAACAGTATATGTGGTATTTTGCCAAATTTTATTTTAAAAAATGCATTAATACGTAGAGATATCAAGAAATTACCTAGAATGGTGTTCGCTTAACTGTCTCAATCTGTCTCTGGTAGTGAAATGCTGCACATGGTTTTCTTTTTGGTTAAGAGTATTTAAGTGGAGGAAATTAAGAATTGCTATTAAGTATATGAGGTGGTAGATATATAAATTAGCTTGATTGTAGTAATCATTTTTGTAACAAATCTCAGAGCATAATGTTGTGCACCTTAAATATATATGACTTTGTTAGTTATCTCCATAAAAATAGGCTTTAGCACACTATCTTATCCTAATATTTCTACACTGATATTGTTGAGGGGTAGACCACACAGGAAATGACAAGACCTAAATCATAAGGCAGTCATAAGGTAATCATTGTTTGATGTTGGTTGCTTTAGTGGTGGGTACATGATCCACATGTGAGGTAAAATTTTATGCTAAAGTTTTAGAATTTAAATAAAATAGTAAACTTTATGCTGTTTTCTTTGCGGGAAGGTTTGACTACTGATTCAATTTTTAAAGATGACTATGAGGCTAGTCAAGATTTCTGTTATTTGTGTGTGTGTATGTGTGTATGGTGTACTGTGAGACTGCCACTGATACCCTTTCAGTACCATCCTGGAAAAAAGTTAGAGCAATGCTTAAGTTCTTTCAGCAAGTATTTACCAGATGCCTACGGTGTGTTATATGCGATTATTTACTGTGTTTCTCATATCCAGTCATACTGAATTATTTTTAACGATAAATTACTAGGTTCTAGCTTTAGGAAATTTTTTAAACAAAGCTCAATGTAGGGCAGTGATGACAATAGAGGCATATGTTGTTGTAAAAGCTGAGTAGCACCTACTTTATAGAGCACCTCTATAATTAAGCGGTATGTTTTAGCAGAAATTTCTTCTATTGTTAGGATTGATGATATAATATTCAGGGACTTCCAGTGGCTTTATTAGTTGGCTTCATGGTTTGATTCTTCTGAAATTAATATAGAATATTATATATGCATATGCTTTTGGTAGTAGAAGAGGATTCATTGGCTTTTCACAGATTGTCTACGGGTCCAAAAAAATTTAAAGAATCATTGCTCTGTGGGTTAAGAAAAGTTTCTATAGATCAACAATCCACTGTTTTATGTTTGTATTTTGAGTAACCATTCTAGAAAAATATTTAAATATGAGATTGTCATTGATTTTTTTTACCCATTTTATGTTATTTTGCCAGTACTTTAGTTGAGAACTTTTTTTTAAAGGTTCAAGTGCAAGTACATCCAACTCTCTCAGCTAATGAAGAGTCTCTCTATTACATTGAAGAGCTGATTTTTCAGCTGCTTAGTAAATTATGCATGGCCCAACCAAGGACTGTTCAAGATGTGGAGGTAAATAGTATTTTGTTATTTCATTGAATCACTGTACACATTAATTTTTGTATCAAAATCTTTATCATTTTAAATTAGAGAAACTAAAACCATTGAATATGTGTGATATATATGGTTGGTTCATTTTTAACAAAATATTAAGGCAGTTCATTGAGGAAAAGGCTTCAGGAAAATAAAAAGTTCTAGAACAGCTGTATAAATTTACAGAGGTAAAACCTTGAAACCCATCTCATACCACAAATAAAAAGTAATTCAAGGGGCTGGGGATTTAGCTCAATGGCACCACGCCTCCCTTGCAAGCGCAAGGTCCTGAGTTTGATCCCTGGTACCAAAAAACAAACAAACAAAAGTAATTCAAGAAGGATGATAGCCTTAGACATAAAAGTTCAAATTATAAGGTTTCTACAATAAAATGCCAAAGAAGATCTTCATAACCTAGGTTTAGGCAAAAGAAAAATTTGGAGAGGCTTGAAAACACCCTATTAAAGAATAAAACTAATGAGAAAATAAATTATGTAAGTCACAGACTATGGAAAATATTTGTAATATGTATTACTGACCAAAAGACTTATATCCAGAATATGTTGAAACCTACAAATCATTAAAAGACACTGTCCTCCTCCAAATGGGCAGTCTTGAAAAGAAACTTCGTAAAAGAGCTGGAGCTTGGCATGGTGGCACACACCTGTAATGCCAGCCCTCAGGAGGCTGAGGCAGAAGGATTAGCTAGAGTTTGAGGCTGGCCTGGGCCACATAGTGAGTTCAAGGCCAACCTGAACAACCTGGTCTCCAAAAAAACAAAAAGAAAAGAGAGAAAGAAAGACAGGGCGAACGGATGGATAGATGGTCGAGTGGTTGGTTGGTCCTAAATGAAGATGTGCTGAAAGCTAGTGAGCACATGGAAAGTGCTGAAGTTTTAGGTCATCTGGAAAATAGAAATTAAAATCATAATTAGGTATTATTTTCCATTGACAGAGAGGGATAAAATTAAAGATTGGTTTATTCCACATGTTGATGAGAATGTAGAGCAGTTAAAACTCTTACACAGTGCTAGTGGGAATAAAAATTAATCCAACTTTACAAAATTGTTTGGCAGTTTCTAATAAATTATTGTTAAATGTATATCTAGCGTATGACCTAGCAGTTCTACTCTTAGGTTTTTTAACCCTAGAGAGTGAAAATAAATTTTCACAAACAGACTTACACATGAAAATCAAAGAAGTTTAATTCATAATAGCTGAAAGTTAGAAACAAGTCAAATTTTTATCATTGAGAAAATGGGTAAACAAATATTATAGATTCATAAAATGAACACTAGTCTCAATAATGAAAGAATGAACTATTGATATATGCAATAACATAGCTGTAATTTACAGACATAGGGCAAACAAAAGCCAGATATGAAAAGAGCATATTATTGTACTTTTCATTTTATGAATTTTAAAAATAGCTAACATCAATGGTAAAAGCCAAAATAGCAGTTGCCTATGATGGGTTAAGTGTTCTATATCTTGATTTGGATGTTGGTAACACAGGTGTAAAAAGTTTTCAGAATTTATCAGTTTATACACTTAAGATCCACGTGTTTTACTGTATGTAAATTTTTTTTTTTTGGTACCGGGGATCAAACTCGGGACCTTGCTCTTGCGAGGCGGGCGCTGGAACTACTGAGCTAAATCCCTGGCCCACTGCATGTAAATATTACCCCAGTGGATTTGTATAAATACTAGGGATTTTTGCTCATTAATTTTTATATAAATATATAATGTGAATTTTTCAAATATTCATTTTGCCTCAGTTAGATGGAAGTATTTTTAGATTTTTAGAAATATGTCTCAGTACTGCTTTTATATTACCTTTTGAAGATTATTTTTATAATAAAGCAACTACTTTCAGTGTAAAGGAAGATATTAATTTGAAGTGATTGAGGTATTAAGATTTTTAAGGACCCTTGGAATTAAAAGCATTTGTTTCCCTATTCTCTGCTACAAGATTTGAACATTAAATAAATACAGTGAGAAGTGGATTTCAAACCAACACTGATTAAGAGAGACAAAGACACTACATCTTTGTAAAGGGAACAATCCAACAGGAAGAGATGACAATCATAAATATATATGCACCAAAAGCTAGTGCACCCAACTATATAAAACAAATACTAACGGACATGAAAAGTCATATATGCACTAATACAATAGTAATGGGGGACCTCAATATCCCACTGTCACAAATAGATAGATCAACTAGACAAAAAATAAGTAATGAAATACTAGAACTCAATTGAACTCTTGAACAAGTGAACTTAACAGATGTTTACAGAGTATTGTACCCCGCAAAATCAGAATACACATTCTTTTCAGCTGCACACAAGTCGTTCTCCAAAATAGACCACATACTCGCTCATAGAACGTGTTTAAGTAAGTGCAAAGGAATGGAAGTTATCCCCTGTATATTATCAAACCATAGTGCGATGAAATTGGAGATCAATAGCAAAAGAAATCACAAAAATTTCATAAACACATGGAAATTGAACAACCCACTTCTGAATAACCAATGGGTCACAGAGGAAATTAAAGAAGAAATCAGACAGTTCCTTCAATT